GCAAGTCAGTTAATAATGATCCTTTATTTTTTTCACTTTTTTCTAGCCATACTTTTAAGAGTAACCAAAAGGCTTTCACATTCTTAATTTTATATGGTTTATGCCTATATAGGCAGTAGCCAGGGAAGATGTACCCCATTTTCTAGAGAATAAACTGAGCCCAGAGGGGTTAAGGGACTTGACCAAGTTCACTCAGCTGATCAGAACACAGCCAGCCCTGGAACCCAGGCCCCTGAGCCTCCATCTTCTTATCAATCAAAAAGGGATAAACAATGCTTATATGTCTCATTGGGGGTTGAAGGGCACTTGTGAGGTAACATCCATCAAAGTGCTTACTCACTATCCTGAGTTACACATTCCAACTGTTAGGTAGCACTGGGGGTGGGGTGGGGGGGTGAGGTAATTTGTGAGACCTCATGGGGGACAGGAGGAGAATAATGTGGCTTGGAGGGCGCCGTGGCGGGTGATGAGGACAACTTAGAAGGCCCTGTCCCTGCAGCAGTGCCACTCCAGCAGTGGGCCTGCCCGAGTCTGGGGCTCACCTGGAGACTTTGTCTCATTGGGGATAATACAGCGCACAAAGTGAGGGTGGGTGGTCCTCAGGTTGGTCATCAGCTTGTTCAGATTCTCCTGGGGGTGGACGAGAGTGGGAAGTCAGGAGCCATAGGGACCGTCATTTTTGTTCCTGAGCCCTGGGCCCCAGACGCCTGTCACCAGCACCCTCCAAAGGACAGGGAGCTGACATAATTTATGACATGAGCTCAGACTTGTGCAGAGTTTACATGCCAAAAATGACCACGTAGCTCTAGCTTCTTTCCTCCCCAAACTCAGAGCATCAGGTTAGGGTGGTGCAGCCAAAGGGCTAGGCCTACCCATCACAGGTCTGCTGGCATCTCTAGGCCCTTCTTACCCGGTGGAGGGCCGACACCGTCTGAAAGGATGAGCCCTTTTTCTTGCCTCCTTTGCTTTTACTGCTATCCCCTAATAACAAGAGAAGGAAGGATGAACAAGAGCTTGAAGATGGAGGAGCCCTTGGGCAGGTGCAGGGCTCTGCGGCTCACTGGCTGGGTGACTTGCCATGATTCACTCTCCATGTCTCAGTTTTCCCATGAGGAGGATAGGAAGTACCTCTAAATGGTGTGAAGAAGATCGGATAAGATCCAGCATGTAAGGTCCCTGACCAGCACTTGCCA